AGGTAGTACCTGTACCACTGAAACTAACTCTACAAAATGTGTTCCAGCTCTGGAGCAAAATGGTAGGATCTGAAGTCCTGGAGAGTTTGTCATAAAAGCAGAACGCTTCTGCAGAGCTGATCTCTCATTGTTCTTCTCTCTCTGGCACACAGATGTCAGTGTTCAAGAGTAACCTTACATTGTTGTGGCAAAATAAAGTGCTTGCACTGATAGATGGAGCTCTGGTAGTGCATGTGCCTGACTTAGCATAACATCACTCCGCTGTTCCTTCTGAGTTTGTAGGAATAGCCACAATGAACAGCACAGGCTACAAAAGTCTGAGCTTTGGGACGCTTGCGTGCTGAGACTGGAATCCATATGGTGATCTGAGCATTAGTCTACATCTTTTAGGAATGTTCTTTGAGGATATGAAATTATGAAACTATTTCTGGGATCAACTGTAATATAAAGTCAACTTCTATCACAAGAACTCTGTAAACAGAAATAAAGTAAATTCATCAAAAGGAGGGGACTGATTAGCTTAAACTTAGGCTGAACATGCAGTTGTGTAAGCAGCAGAGTTATCAAGAACACTTTGAAAAGCCTTTGATTTCTTGTGATGGTTGAGGAGAAGGGGATGGTTCTCAAGTTTCATCAAGCTGTAATGTTTTAGCCAGTTGCAGTAGGGGAATGGTCTCTGGTCTGCATCTTCCTTCCTTTGCTCTATTTACGTGTACAACAGATTGTCTGTTACAGCTCTGTAGGGAAACAACTTGTTGGCCTTGCCACCTTGCTTGTAGCATGTATTTGAAGGTCACTTAGCTCTGTTTCTGTTGACTTTCACTGTACCAGGGAATTTAAGAGGACACATCTTGTTCAAGTGTTGTGCTCAACTCCAAAATTTTGACTATTATTTAGTATAGCTGCTCAAATTTCTTAAGTCTGAATACTCAGGCTTTACCGTCTGTCTGTATTTTGGGGGATGTTCAGATACAGAACTGTAGTAGTATATGAGAAGTTTTTGGTCCGTAATGAAACACTGAAGGATAGGATGCACCCGCTGGGGAGCGAGTCAGGGAACACGTGACTACAACACTGGAACATCTCAATGACTGTTTATGAAACAACGTGATTGATTACACGAAGATGAGGACGACCGGTTAACCGCAGCCCACAGTCACATAACCAACCCCCCCCCCCCCCCCCCCCCGGACAACCCCCTGTACACCCCCTTGTAAAACAGTACAGTATGTGGTGAATAGATAAGCTCTAAGGGCGGGGCGTAACGATCCTTGCGGCACATACTGGCCACATGTGTCTGAACGATTGTGGGTCCCAGCATGGATAAATACCAAGCAGGGGCTTGGGGAGGGTGGATACAACAGCGAGGATCCACGTTGCCTCCACGGGGATGTGATGCCCGTTATGCCTTGTGCCTGCTGATCCTCCAGCACCCTGGAATGACACCACTGGGGAACTGTACGCTGACCCTAGCCTTGATATCCATTGTGGGGTCAGTATGTGTGTAATCTGCTTGCAATAAACACTGTACTGCTTTGCTTTTTAAATGAACTCTGCATGTGTGAGCGTTTACTCTGGAATCTAACGAATACAAGCACTTCAGAAAAAAGTCAGGGACTGAAATGCAGGTAAATTTCTGCTGTCACAGAACTGTGTTGAAACAGCATTTCTCACGTAGGGTGGTCATTCAGTTGAGACTCAGCTGGAGCCAGATGACATCAATAGTAGGTTCTGCAGTTCTAAAGGGACATCAGTTTCTAGAAGTAGAAACCAGGAACACCTACTGAGGGTTATTTTAATAGTGACGTGTGTTTGGCCTTTGGACTTTACTAGCTGCCAGAAATAAACTTGTTAAACAGCTTATGACAGTAGTTCTGCACCTCTGAGCTGTTCTGGTGACTTAGGAAGTCTGAATGTGAGTAGTTAGTGTAGTCCTCCACACACTTATTTAATTGGTGCCTTCCACAATGAAATGTTGACAGTTGGAGTAATCTTTCACTGTAAATCTACAGTTAGATTTTTTTTTTTTAAGTCTTCCTTATCCTGCTAAATTGGTCAGAGCCCTAAATGCCCAGTGCACTAACCTTTTGGATGTTAATTATATTGACTTGTGCTCTCTGAAGAAAGATATGCCAGCATGTCTGAGAAAAATGTGCTGGCAACTGCAGGAACCAGACGTTGCTAAGTTGTATATTAATTTGAAGTAACAGACTGAAACAAAGGTATTTGCATCTCGCTGTCTGCAATCGTTCTAACTTGCTTAGTGAAAGCATGAGCCGAGTGTTTCACCCTTAACCAGCATTACACAGCACCCTGTCCATTGAAACCTTTCCCTTGGGAAGAAGCTGAGAAAAAGCACCAAATCATCAGATCCAAACTTTGAGAAAACAAGGATTATCTTTTCTGAAAGAGCTCTAGTGCACATACACTGTGGGAGACTTGAGGTTCAATGAACCGAGAGGGTTCACCCCAGGGTAATTGGGGTAACTAGGCAGGCAAAGCACATGACACAAGTGTGACTGCTGCCTGTTGTAGAAGACCTAAAAAGCTGAGAAATGGTGTGCAATAACAAGTATAACAATGCTGGTACAGTTAAATCTTTAGCACTGTATCATTCCAGAAGAGTCTAATTATTTCAAAAGTGGGCTTCTTTTCATTTTTATGACAGTAAACTTTAGTGACACTAAGGTTTAGTTCTGGAAAACTGTATCCCCACCTATACAGAAAAACCTGACCCTAAGAGGGGCTAGTGTGAAATAAAGTTTGATACTTGCTTACAGTCTCTGTCCTGAATGTGTGAACTTTTATTCTTGTGTAGTTACTTGGCAAGGTTAGTTAGCAGGAATACAGGAGGAGAGCTGTGACTTTCAGATTCTTCAGGGACCAGAGATGGCTGCAGAGGACAGGCGTTCATGTTAAAGCTTGCTGAATCGCAAGTGTGTGAGACTTGTGCCCACTGTGTAGGAGGTGCTGCACTTGCATTAACCAATATTTGGAGTTGATACAACTGCTCAGAGCTGCGGTGGCTATGTTTTGATCTAAGTACCAGTCCTGGATTGCAGTGATAAGAGAAAGGGTTGTCTGGAACTAAACAGCTAGTTTGAAGTAAACCTTTTAGATTTCTTATCTACAGTCTGATCACCTGCAAGTTTCCTGTTTTTCTTTAAGTGGTACAATTCAAAACCTTCTGCTGCAAGTTATGAAACTAAAGGCCTTTAAAAAGGGGGGAAAAAAGAGAAACCAAAACCTCTTTGTACTTTATCTTGCTATATAAAATGGTGTGATTTTTAGTGACTGCCAGATCACAAAGTGGTAACTTTGGGGCAAACTTGGTGGGTGTCCTTGACTAAGTCTGTTTTCCCTTTTTACAGGGTTGGCGTGTTGGAGGACACCTTCACCTGTCTTGGTGTTTTGTGTGCCATTGTATTCTTTCCAATTGGGATTCTGTTCTGTCTTGCACTGAGGCAGAGAAGATGCCCTAATTGTGGGGCAGCTTTTGGCTAAGGGGATGAATGTGGATGTGCTTATGGAAGCTACAACTGTTAGCATACTCTTTCTAATGTAAATGTCATGTACAATCATTTTATTTGCTTCAGACCTGTTTTGTAAAGTGTGAAGAAATTTAGTCTCTTGCATGTAATTTAAACCTAATCTTTTATGAGCATGTGCATTGCAAAACATGAAAACCCAACTTGTTTTCCATGTTTAGTGGCACCTGTTGAAAACTAAATAAAACTGCTTTTCCTTTTGCAATCCTCAACTTGTGACTGGATTATTAAATATGTGACTAATGTGTCTGACAACATGTAGTCTGAAAGTGGAGTTAGTAATCCTAGCTACAAAGAAGGATAAATATTTGCCAGAATCCTATAATTAAAAGAAAAAAGTGGTTTAGGGCTATACTTGTTTAAGCACATCAGATGTTTTTAAAGAAAGTGTTGCAAGTGCTGTGTGTGCTACTACTATGCCTTCTGAAGGCATTAGTAATAACAAACATTAAGAGCCCTAAGAGCCCTATTTTAATTAGCAAACAGCTTTTTTATAGGGACACACATGCCCTCCTGGGACTGCAGTGGCAGTGTGCTGTCAGCTCTAGCTGATATTGGTTCACAGACAACGGTAATTTCTGACTGCAGCAGGGCCCTCTTCTCTAGAAAGAGAGGCTGTGCCGCTGCCAAGGGTGAGCTGCCCTGAATAAAGTTTTTTGCATTTCAGATTATTTAATTCTGATACTGAATTATTGAAAGCTTATGCAGTCTAGCTTGGCTTGCCTCTAATGTGCTTTAGAAAATGGACTCAAGTATAAGTTACACTTCTGAAAAGCTGGTGTTTCAAAATGGGATAAAGGATATTTATGCAAGGTTCCATAGCAAATGAAATGTCCTCAGCCTTCAACTTGAAAGGCATTGTGAGAGGGATGAACTCTAGCTCTGCAGCCATCACATGCTCATATACTATTTTTTGATACTAAGTAACTGCAAGGCATTTCACATGACTTGAATTCACTGTTTGTAGTAGTAGAAGCAGGCATGACAAAATGGATTATCCGTGGGGTGCTGTAAGCAAGCATGTACATGGGTAAAGCAGAATGATTTTGAGTAAGGCTTAATCACTGGCAGGAGTCACACTACAGACTTCATACAGCAGGTGGGAAATATCACCTGAACTGTATAGCAATAAAGCACCCCATGCTGATGATAGTGGAGAGTCAGTTTCTAACATTCTAAGCTAATTTGAGATGATTATTACTGTAGGAGAAGTCTTTCTGACAAGCTAGCTCCATTAGATTTAGAAAATCTGAGCCTGAGGTAACAAACTGTACAGCTCTGCTTGTGACTGAAGTTAAAAAGCTATATTTCACTTAACTCAGATACTGTACTATGCCAGCATTTGTGCCATTGCTAGGCTCCTGAAACAAAAAAATTTTCAAACTTAGTCCATTTCTGCAGCCTTCCACAAGAGAAAAACAGATTAACTTCAAAGGCAGCTTTTTATATTAGCATTTGAGAAAAAAAATAAATCATGGCACTGTTTTATTGACTTTTTGTAAGACTAAAGTTTGACAGTGTGTTAAAGAAAAAATTATCATTGAAGAATGTTTTGACAGTACGAAGTTAGACTTAAAATGGGCTTATGTTAACACTTGAAAATTTGTATCTGAACATAAAGCAAAGCATTACAAATTGTCTGTTCTTAAAGGATAAATATTTATTTATAACCTAGGGTGTCTGTCTTAAAATAATGTATAATCACTTTATACAGGCAATTTTCTATTCTGAAATAAGGCAGTTGTTACATTGTTCTGTTTGGAAAAAAATAATCTTTCTCTTATTTAGTAAGTGGCATATGCAGGCTTATATTCTAAAACTTACCATTGCAGTTTTCAAATAATGAATGCCAAGATTCAGATTTGTGAGCTATTGGTTACACTGGTTTACTAGAGTATCCAAACTATCTCCAGTATTTTCACAACTCCTACTACAAAAAAAGGCATACTGTAAAATCAAGCCAAAGTGCTCAAACATTAGCCCAAAGCAATTACCTCATTAGAAAGTACAGGTTTTAAAAAAAAATACTCAGAAATCTATTCCAGTATGCTTCTATTGTACAGTAATTACATTTAAATAAATTTTTAGAACAAGTTTAGATAGTAATTGTCATTACTGAAAATGGTGTTCATAAGGAAGAAGTACATGTGTATGGACCTTATATTTATCGAATAATTGGTGCTGATCTGTCATTTGTTACTGTTGGTCTGAGTTTCACAGTTGCAAAAGGATTTTCTCCACTGAAAAGAAATGCACAAAGTTACTAGAAGGCTTGCTGCAATACAAAACCAAATTTAAGCCATGCATTTTCTTCACCCAAGTTATTTGAAGACTAAGTTACGGTTTTAGACTAGAGGATTCTGTGCAACTCTTAGTTTAACTTGAATTTTTAAAACAAGCTGACATATGAAGACTCACTTCACAGTGATGCAAAATTTGGGAAGTTAATGCTCAGTTAGATCTGGACTTTTTTTTTTAAACAGCTCCCAGTCTTCAAAGATGTTTGTTTTTAACCCTCAAAGACATAGTCCTGCTCCCTGTCAAACTACTGGAGAAACACTTCTTTTTCTGAGAAGGGCCTATGCGTTGTATTTTACTTGATGCCACTCTTGAGAAAAGTGCAACCAATATTAGCCATAATCTTTTACCAATGCCTAGGAAAGGTCACAGAGTAATTTGGGAAAAACACCCTTATTTCCCCCTCTCAATTAATACAATAATATATTCCAATGTAAAAATCAACACAACTAAATTAGCGCAAAAGTTTTTAAAAAAATACCTTAGAAAAGGTGGTTTTATAATGCCATTCATATCAGGTTTCTGTAAAAGAAAAAGAAGATATTTACATAGATTTACAAAAACATGCTACAGGTGATCTCGCTATCCTCCTAAGGAAAGAGACCCTATCAGTCAAACAGGCTAAAATATTTAGCCATTCAGAATAATTATTGGGTAGTTCAGCTGAACTGTGGAGGGGAGAATTATCGCAGAACATCAAAATTAGGAAGAGGGATAGTTTTGCATAGCCATTGCTAATATTTCATTATAATAAAACTGTCATGTTTAAGTGTGCAATCTGAAAAGACTTGGTTTTAATTGCTACAGTTTGCACTGTACTTCTGTGATGAAGTGTGCTTCATTCTTGTGAAGTTAAGGTAACCCAAAAGATGGCAGTGTCGCTCTGCCACAGTGCTGCTACAGGACACAGCATTTCAGGTGTGATAAAATGGAGCACTGTTGCAAAATACTACCCTTCGCAAGCCTGTTGTGCTACATGGAAGTCTGAGTAAACGGTTAATTTCTACTTTTTTTTCCCCCTCGTAACTTTTAGTACTAGTCATACCTAATGACGTATTTTAAACTGCAAACTAATTGCATTGCTTGTAATAGGTGTCAGATAAAGTTAAAAGTGAAAATTTGAATATACATTCTTGCACACACAAGCAGGAATATGCAGTCACCTTTTATGTAGCAGCTTGACTTGTACTAATCATTCAGTCTATATGGCCATTTTGGTTTTAATACTTAAAATTTCACTGCTGAACAAAGGCCTGTAAAGCTTTCCTTTTCAGGTACACCGGCTATTGTACCAGTAGTTCCTAGCTACCATATTCACCATACCGTGATGTGGGTGAAGAAAACTGTTTATTCAGGACCTAATTCAGCAGGGTTCTAAGCATGGGCTTTTGACTTGTGATTCCAATGAAATGGCTCATGTACATCAGTCCTAAATAGAATTAGACCTTAGAATTAGGCCTAACTAGCCCTTAAAATCAATTAGAATGAACAAATGCCTGAATTACATGCTACCTCTTACTGAAAACCAACCCTCATGAAAGCTCCGTCAACTACTAAGTCTGTTTTAGTTGATGTTGATCTGCATAGTACTGTCCTACATAACACAGCATGAACAATTTAACTTGCAAGAACCACTCCTCATCTTTTTTTCTTGAAATCCTGAGCTATTTTTTCTGTGTATTCTGAAACAAAAATAAGATGCCTCAATGAATCATTTCCTGCTTCTGTGTAAGACACACTGTAAGCATACTGTTTTACATGTATGTAAATTCCGTATGAGTCTACAAACCAGCCTGGTATAATGTTGAGCTTATTTCCAAAGCCTTATGGTGGTGCAGGGGTTGGCGACTTGCATCGAAGTGGGAAAGACAAGGAAGCTCTGCAACTTTACAAAAGAATGAAAGTAAATAGTGATTTCGGAGCAACACACTTGGGTGCCAGTGCAGTGACTGTCCTCTACAGTTCTCTTCCTTATTTTGTATGGTAACAGGTGAGAAGAATCATGGGGCCACAGTAAAATGATAGCTGCTATGAGTTATGGGGGTACCTCAACAAAAGCAGTTGTTATTTTACACTCCAGAATTCCCAGATTATTATTTTTTTTTTTAAATCTTGCTTTCCCTGGGGAAATTTAGAATCTCAAAAAAGATGTATTTGTTTTCCACTAAGAGGCTATAAGCTTCTATTCTGGCCTCCAAAGAGAATATACTGTTCTTATTAGAATTCTGTTCTAGTCTGTCAACTAAATGATCTGCCATTCCTCTTGGTTTTTCAGTTCAACAAGAATGTTCGTCCACAAGCCTTAAGTTTATTCCTACAAGCCCTAAACTAGTGCCACAGAACAAACAAAACGCCCCTTAAGGTGACTACTCTTGAGAACGGACGGAGGACAGTTAGCCATACTAAAGATGGCAGCACAGTACAGTGATACTGAGACAATTTAACGGATTCAGTAGTTCTTAAACTCCATAGTAAGTCACCTTTTACTTGTCACAGGGCAAAGAACTTGCTGTACTGCTTGCTTGGCAACTTCCACAGGCTGATAGATCTTTTAACTATTGCAAACATAATTACATTTGAAGGACATGCTGATCCCATAGGTCTCAACAGCCTGCCATAGAGTAAGTGAACCAATGTATAAATCTGACATTACATAAT